TGGTGACAATTAGTAGAAAGTAAGGTGACTGGGAGATTAGCAAGAAGAAAAAGTGCACAAGCTGTGAGGGAGAGAACACGAGTCCGGAACAAAAAGAATTAGTTGTCCTTTCAGTAGAAAATTTGTAGTGAAAGTGTTATAGTTGGATTGTATTAAAGTTGTAGGAAAATTGTTTATTAAGAACAATCCAACTACAATTATTTGTAGCAGATTTGTGTTATAGTTGTTTTACCTTTTGTTTTGTTATTTTGTCCAGAATTCTACTACTTACAATAGAAAACATCTATAGCATATTTTTTTGTTGAAAGTTATTAGTACTTGATCTCGATATTGGTACTATATAATTTCTTTATAGCATAACTACAATTATGTCTACAACTACTATACAAAAATATAGAATCTATTCAAATTTAGCAGTGTTGTTAGGAAAAGCTTAAAATTAATAAATAAACCCAGTTTTTGAACAAAATAAATACAAACCAATTGCATTAAGAGTTGAAATCTGTATACCAAATATTCATTATAGGAGACAATCTTTATTCAAATTAGCAACACAATTACACCACAACTATAATTGTCCAGAACAGAACAAACACAACTAAATATGTCTTAAAGGACAGATTATCATCAACAGTACTCAGTAAAAAAAATTCTTTATACTATATCATTTCTTATTTCCTTTTGGGAGCATTCCTACAAGATTTTTTGTTATGCCCTTCTTGTCCGTAGTGGCCAGTAGGTGGCATTACAACTTCTTCTACTATATGTTGTGGCACATTCCATTTGCTTTCATCAGGTAGCGGGTCTACTGGTATTTCAAAGTCTGCAGAAAGCTCTCCCTCGTGTAATAAGGAGAACAATAGTTTTCATAAGACTCGTTCCTGTGCCTCAAAGCCGCCAAAGCATGTGGACAAGGAAGTTCATCAAGTTGGAATTGTTCACAACTACATCTCTTGTTTTGAAGGAAAACAATGAAGCGCTTCACACCATCTATCACGGTATGAATGTAATATGTTGAAGCCCTCACTTTCAATTTCATTACAAACACATAACAAGTTGTCAGCAATTGATAAAAGATAAAATAACCACAATTATACAATAACATATCTACAATTATCAGTATATATTTAGCTTGATGAAATAAATGATATGATGTTATTGGCTATAACTTACTCTCATCTTCTGCAATAATGTCATGTTCTCCTCCAACTCTTTGTTGTATTTTTTCCCAAGGTATGTACTCTAATAGTTGAACTACGGGCAGCTCTCTTGCATCTTTAGTTACCGCATTCAAGGACTCTACAATGTTTGATGTCACTCACCGTAGTATGTACCCGAGATCATCAATGATAACTAATATCGTATAGGTATGCTTTAACACGTGTGTCAATCTCTTCAATCTTTGACATTATTTCATTAAATTCATCAAGCATGTATGATCGTGCCGTGGCAAAGTACAATTCGCTTAATTTTAGATAACCTTTCTTGAACTTTGACCTTTCTTGAACTTTGACCTTACAATTATTCGAATATGCCACATGCAAGCATAATGTGGTATGTCGGTATAAACAGTAGATGTTGCCTTCAATATACTCCCATTTTGGTCAGAAACAACACACATCCTTTTGGTTTTTCACCATATGCATGTTTGAATTGCTCAAAAAAAACCAGCTCCATCATGCGTCATTTTCTGGATCAACAACAGTGTATGTTGGTGGTAATATGCTACCTATCATATAGGTAGCAAAAAGAAATCCAATTTCAGTAATAAAACTTGAAAATATAAAAATACAGTCTCAGAAATAACTTTATTACAATATTTTTACAATTAATCTACATTACCTGCTACATCCATTGTGCTAGTTGTTAGTATGATTCCCCTATATTACGGCTTCAAGAAGGTGCCATCGACTACGACAACTGGCCTACAATGCTCCCAACACTGATGGACGTACTAAGAGCGACAAATGCATATAAGAAACAATCATCTCAGTCTTCTGCAATTTCACTACCGGCCCCGGATAAGTCTTCTCTAAAATATACAAAAAAACTCGGAAACCGACTGTAGAAATCAACAGGATGACCTCTCAAAAATTCCAAAGCCTTTTTTCTTTTGCTATCCAAGCTGGTACGTATGTTAAGTTCACATCATGTTCCAACAACATATCAGTTTGTATGTCTTTTGGTATGTTTATTGTCTTAGGATACGCATATTTTGGCATGACAACTACCATGACAGTAGCTTTCCGTTGTATATATGTGTTGTCCATCAAAGAGCATGTGTGCAAGCTGTTGAATTTTCAAAACTTGAACAATATTGATTCATTTATGCTGGTGGACTTGAAGTGCCACATACAATTGTCACCGACAGATACGAGGCAGTAGCTACAGTAAAATAACTAAAAAAATGTTATGCAAATTGTAGCTACAGAATACGAGCCTGTTTACGCACAAAAAATTATTTTAAACAATTTATATACATAAAAACTACAGCTTATACACAATATGATTTTGACAAATAAAATATTTCTAACTTCTTGCACTAGACCTTTCACCCTAAATTGAGACTTATTCATGACAGAATAGTGCTTTATTGCACTAATAATTGTCTGTTTGTCTTGGTAAACTTGGCCTACTTCAATTACTTTTGGCGTATGTTCTGTTATGATGATACTTTCATATTTCACAATTGCCAGAGATGTTGGTATATGATATTTTATACTTCAATACCACACAAGAGATGGGGGATGATTTGTGTGGTGACCAATTTTTCTCTTAGACTAATTATAGAAGGACATGGTTCTTCTATGTGTTCCTTAACCTACTATTGCAGAAATAGTAAATGCGAAAAGTAAAGAACACAAGTATTTTACGTGGAAAACACCTGGCTCAAAAGGTGAAAAAACCACGACCTACTTTCCACTAGGATTTTTCCAAACTCTCCACTAAAATCACTGAGCCAAGAACTGCATTTTCAAAAACTCTTTCGTAAACCTAAGACTAACTCTAATCCTGTTGTAGCACACAGCCTCTAACTGTTGCGACAACTTCAAGTTAACTCTAACTTGAAGACTCTGAGTACCTATTACAATTGCCTCTAGATAAAGCTGAAAGGTACAATATAAAA